AATTCTATGATTCTATGACTCTAAGGTGAGGGCATCCCACCCCCAGCCAGAGGGGCAGGGGTGCACGTCCTCTCCCCACACCACCACCTCAGGCAAAAGCCTGTATCAAAGTACACACAGCAAACTTTTATATTTGTAAATATTTGTACTTGCCATATATGACAACTGAAAGTGATATTTTCTATTAGTTTAGAATCCCTGGTACTTTCCTTTAGATGTACCGTGTCATCTCCTTTATGTAGATAATTACAAGCTTACTTACTACGTTTTTTCCATAACTGGTATTAATTTTTATGTGGATATTTAAAATGAAATACGGCAGTGTCATACTGAACACTGAGAGGATATAAACCTCTCTCTGATCCACAGCAAACAGAGGCCTTCCAAGCTGAACTGCTTTGCTGAAACAGGTACTTGTGCTTATTTCTTTTATTTGTCGAGTTACAACAGTTCCTTGATGACCTGTATGAGATGAACGGAATCAAATGTATTCCTCCTAGGACAACAACAAGACTTCCAAACAAGCTTTTTTATTTTTTTTTCATTTTTTTTCCTTCTACTTGCAAAATATTTTTGCTACATTTTCAACTTTTAACTATATATCTTTGTTAAGAAAATCTAAATATATGGAATTTGAATACAGGATGGTATTAATTCACATTCTTCTGTAATTCCCATAGATTATTTTACATAACACATACAGAATAAAAAACCCCTGAGAACTTCCTAAGAAAAAATATCAAATATTTCTGCTGTTCAATTATTTACAGTACTGTTTTGAATCATTTGACTCACTCCTTGGTATACTGTATCATAATGATATACATTCCCATATGCATAAAGAGAATGTGCACTGGAGTTTTATTATCCTCTGTTCTGAGCAAGTGAACATCTCTCTAGGGATTAGGCCTTTTTTAAAAAAGAAAAGGGCGGGGAAGATCTTTTGCTTTCAAATTTCTTTGTTTTTCCAGTGCCAACAGTATTCTACATCTTCAAGCAGACTTCCCAAACCCATATACAGAGGCCAGTTATGAGCCCTCACTCTTACCTTTAAGCTTGCTTCTTGAACCTTTTTATCCTTTAATCTTTCTCTTTTTTTAAAAAAAAAAATCTTTGTGCTTTCCTTATATATTTCCATCAGCTTACAGGCTGTAATGGATCCTGAAAGTGGGCTTTGACTCAAAATGCACCCCAAATGTTTTTTGGACCTAATCTTTAACGGGTTAGGTTGTTGATAATTTACACATTGGAATAATCCCATAAGTATTAGGATGGATGGCATCCCTTGTGATAGTGAGATGAGGCTGAGAACAAAGTGAATTAAAAATAATTGTGAAAACCCCCAGCACATCTTGTCTTTTTATTTCTGCAGTTGGCGTATGATACAATAATTGTCCTATGCACATTCCTGTCTTCTCTGATTGTTGAGTTTGTTGAAGTTTCTTGTATCAGACATGCCTTTATTTGCAACCATTCCCAAAATCATGACTCCATTGCCTAAATCGGTTGTTGAAACTTGATTTCCATGCTGGAATTATTTATGTATCAAGGTCATTTCTAAACTAAATCAGTCTTGCACATCATTTTTCTTTCCCAGTCTAAAATTCCATTTTCTTTGCATGACCTTCTGTTTACTGAAGCTTAGTAAAAGAGTAGTCATTTTTTGATATTTTAAAGCTTTTACAAAATTAATTTCCTGAAGGTATGTTTCTTTTTGTCACGATACAGCAAGCATACACAGGATCTAGACTCAAACAGAGGTCATGTAGATGACAGAGTAACATTATTATTCCCACAAACCAGCTCTAAGGATGTTGGCTGCCTGTATCACATACACAAGTTTTGGCATCCACAAAAATGAAGGCAGAGACGAGAAAGTTAAGACCAGGTTGCACACCCACCTCAAATACATTTTGAGTAGTCTGCCATACAATGTTTCGGGAAAAACAGCATTTCACTGGTGAGTGACATATTTTCATTTCCTAAAGGAGAACAAGGCTTTGAGCATATATATATTTATTAATTCTGCAACGATCAAAACTTAACTCTGGAAAATGTGTTTAATTTCCATGAAAATGTCATTGTGTTGGCTCTGACTTCCTGCCAATTATTTTTTTTGCACAGCTTTAGTAACAATAACATGACAGTTTTACATCAGAAAGTAACTGGCATATGCTATAATTTTGTGCTCTCCCACAGAAAAAGAAGAAAGAGCTTTAAAAAGGAAACACTGAAATGTTTATTGCTTGTGTTTACCAAAAAGTGAAACTGAACCTTCCTGTTACTTTTGTTTTCTCCCCAGCCAAGCATCATCCAGTGAGAGGATGGAGCAGTCTGAGCTGCTTGCCATGCAGAAGGAGCTCTGCACGGCTTACTGGTAAAACAATGACCCAGTGAAGCAGGGATAACTTTTTAAGGAACAATCTAGGCTAACAGTCTTCAAAATTACAACAGGGACATTCTAAAACATTATGATTAAACTCAGTGCATGCAGTTGTTCTCCTCCAGTGCAAAACTACCACCAGGTAAATTGGTACTGCAGAAGAGAGCAGTGTTCTCTAAACTGCATGTCTTGCTGGACTAATCTTCTTCACCTAATGTTGATGAAGGTGTCCCTATATATTTGCTTGCTTTAAACAGGATTTGAGAGAATAGTTTTTTTAAACATGGATCCCAGTTTGGTCCATAAGGACTGACAGAACTTCAGCCTCACAAGTAATATGGAAAGAAGTAACTAGTTCCCACAAGACTTCTGTGTTAGCAAGAGCTGTTTAACTTATTTTTCTGCAGCCAAACTACATACATGTAGAACTTTAATACCCTTGAAATCTCATGGGGCTTAAATAACCTTGCTGGTGAGAGGTATCTAGCTAGGAGGAGGATGATAAACGAAGCAATGAAGTTCCTTTTTTTCTTCACTGAAGAGATTTTACTAGAAAAAGAATTCCCAAGCGCTTTCCTCCACTGAGATTTGAAAGCATTTGAGCCTTGTATTTGTCATTTGTCCAAATTAAGAACACTAATATATCTAAGCCCAGGTAAAGGTGGATTTCTTCTGCTACTTCTTTTATTTTGCCTTCATTTTATTAAGTATATTACCAGCTTTTTCCCAAAGCAGGAAAAGTTATTTCCTGTTTTACCACAAGCCTGACATAGAATTTCACATACCTGCACTGTTGGAAAATCAACATTATGTGAGGTCATCATCTTTTCCTTCCCAGAAATTTTTTAGTCCTGACAGTTTCTTTCTTCAGTGCAAACAAGGCTCTAAAACAAGACAAAAGTAAACCTAACAGCTGGCCTCTTTGCTGTACCTATACCATTTACTACAAAAAAAATGTTCTTCACATCTTGCTTTAGGAAGTACTCCTTTCTCCAGCAGAGAAGTCCACTGAAAACAAGCCACAGCTGGATTAATAAAAAAGCAAAGCTGGGACACGAGTTACAGGAAAAAAATCTAGCCTGTGAATTCTGTTGTTGACTATGTGTAAAATTGTGGGCTTGTTAGTCTTGACAAGCATCCATTCAGGGATGAAAGAGAGCAGACAAATTTATAACTCTGCTGAAACTAATGGAATCACTTCAGCCAATCTCAACTGATGTTCGACGTTTTGTAAAAATGCCTTTGGCCTGCACAGTAGAAGTCAGTTATATCGTATACAGTACAGAAACTCCAAAATGCCTTGCAGTTTAACACAGATTGACATTGGTGGCTGCTCTGCTATAATGTATGGATACTTGCTCTGCTCACAAACTGGGATGAATGCAGTCAAGGTTGTAGTGCTTAATATAAAGCAAAGTTATCCAGGTCTAACAAAGTATCATGTTGAGTTGTTACGGTCACGCAAATGAGATTACTGGGCGACAGATGAACAGGATGGCTAAAGTCCAATAAAGTATTACTAAATATGTGTATGATGTTTGCGGCATTGTATGAGGGAATATTGTATGAACTTTAGAACAGTCCAAACATGCCATTAATTGAACTCATAGTAAGGGCTTATAACTGAACATCAGTGTGTGCTTAATGTAGGGATAATTAACTAGTGAACTAAAAAGCTCAGAACATATGATAGGTAACTACAGAAAAATGCATCAGTAGGTGTTTAAGAAAGCGGTTACAGGTAAGAAGCTAAAGCTTGAAATTTTTTGGTTGGTGCGGCTTCACAGCTGATTATTAATACACAGGGTTATGCCTACTATCTGCCATGTTGCACTAAGGAAGAAACTCAGGTGAGAAATTTGGTCATGAGTTGAGCTTTTGAGTTTGGGTAAACCGATATCAATCTGATTCCCAGAAGATTTAGATTAGCTAAGCTAATAGAAAAACTGTGGGCAGTACTGAGCAGCTACAACGCTGTTGTTAGTTAGCAGAGCAGCATGGCAAACGTTGGAAGGGGCAGACAGTTACTGCTGTTCTGTGTGCTGTTAATCTATTTAGAAGATACCAATATTGAAGCTTTTATCTTCAGTCATTTGCCATGGATGTGTGTCTCCAAAATCCATATTCATACATGCCTTTGGGCTAGATCCCCTTTGCATCACTAAAATACATTCCTATTTTACCTTCTTATCTACACAAAGGCATCCAGAATGAAAACAGTGAGTTTGTCTACACTTAAAATACCACTTTCTTTATTGCAGTGCTAGTGGGAAATCCAAGCAAAGGAAGACAAAAAGCTCCCCATCCAAACCTAAAATCTTGGAAGACTCAGTTTTTGGGTGTGTAGAAGTATTATCCAACATCAAACTGTTTATTATAAGCCATTATTTTCCTATGTCAAAAGTATTTGCTGTAAGTCATGGATCTACTATTCTTTGTTGGCTTCACTTCAAATCCCATACCTGTTATTACGAAAGACCTTAATGGAGGCTCTGAGAGGTTACACAACCCCAAAGCTACAAGATACAATCGAGAACATCAAACAATTCATGTGTCGGCTGGCTACACCAGTATCATCCTATACTCAATGAGATGAGGTGGCAACTTTCATCACTGGCTATCTGTTGTCTTCTATGACAACGGTTCTTCTAGGATACGTGTCAACATCCACAAATATGTAGCGGACCTCAAATCTTCCACTCTCGGGATTCTGTAAGGAAAACAATTGCAGGCTCTTTTTTTCCTGTTTGGTAGTTTAAGTTCAAGATTAAGCTTGTCAGCTATACCAAGCAATTGTACATACCTCTTTGACTTCCACATGGACTGTTCCCCGCTTCCCTGGTTCAGAGCCCTCAATATAGAACTTCAAACGCATATGTTTCAGTCCATCCTTTACATATTCAATGTGACTAAAAACAGCAAAACAAAACAAAAAAACCAACCCACCCAGGAAGGATACATATTATATGCCTGTTAAACTTCAAATTTAAACTTCTTATTTAGAGGAGCTGCGTAATTATTTTGTGAGAAAGTGTATTCCAAGGCAGTCCCTATGCTACCATGGGTTCCTTCTCTACTGATCTTCTCAAGCTTTACTGTGAGTGTGTCAGAGGTAGCAGAGTTAGAAGAAAGAACTAATTAGCAGTTGAGGATTAACAGATGAAGTGCTTAAATATCCTCACCCCAGTCCTCCTCTCAAAACTCAACAGCAATCCAATGGCTGAAGATTCTGGAATTTCCTTGTATTTATTCTAAAGAACCCCCAGATTCCGAGTCTGACATCTAGGAAGGAACACCCACATCACCAAGACTGCCAGGGGTTTTTTAGCACTTAAACTGAGTTACCAAGCTAAAACACACAAAGAATGTTTTGTCAACTTAATTATCAGGTTGGTTAAATCGCATCAAACCAGTTTACTATATGCTTTACTTACTTTGGCAATAATTTTGTTCTATTGAAGTTGTGTAACTTTGGCACTGATATCAGATCTCCAGCCTAAATGCTGATATTTAGACTGGAGTTAGGTTATGCTCAAATATTAAATAAATAGAAAGGTCGCGTCACTTTCAAGGCGACCTCTTCCAGAAACTCATGGTCAAACTAGAGTTCTGGTGCCAGTTTATGTTTCCTACTGAAATTACTAACTGCTGCATGCTACCAAGCTCTTATTTCCATCAGTCATGCCCAGATACACACTGTGAATTAAACTTCCAATACAGTTTAAGGTGACATGATGGGTTACAGAGAACAAAGATGAATGAAGAGCCTTACTGCGGTAAATTCACATTCAAGGTATTCATACACAAAAGAACCCTGTACATTTTTGAGACATTTAAGGTCATCCTTACACTGCAGACACAAGTGCTACAATCTTACAAAGGCCTCAGCTCAAAAATGTATTTAAAATACTAGACTTTCAAAATGGTGGAAATTAAATATTAGGAAAGCTGACAGTACATTTACTTACTTACATAGTTTGTTTTACAGACACATGCTTACAATGTTTGTGCATAACCTTTTTGTTTAGCAGCTCCACTTTAAACACTTTTTCACTGGTGAAAAGATAAACTTCCACCAGTAAAAATCACCTTCCTCTGGAAAAAAATTTCTCAATTTCATGGTTCAAGTTGTGTATCTGGGCTTATGTGTCCCATCCTATATGAAACCTTGAATAAATTCAAGTCAAAGAACCCAATAAAGACAAAGACCCTATTGGGTTATAGTGCAGGGCGGATTTACATTTTGTAAGAATTAGTTCTGTTGTTTCCCTCAAAAGGAGATTAATAAATAGACACACTCATGAAAGGTTTAGGTGAGAGATGTTCTGTTAAATACACAGTAGAGATGTGGTCTCTAGTACCAAAAAGCAATATAAGAAATGGGCAGTCAATACAGCATATCAGCTCGGGGCAATAGGCACTGCAGTGACTACAACCTGTGCAGGCAGACCCAGCCTAGCTTTAAACAGAGCAAGCTGGATTCTTGAAGTCTGAAAGTTAGTACCACCTGCTCTTTCTGGCCTGATAAGAACTACTGCTTCAAAAGGAGAAAAACTCTCAAAGAATAATTTTTCAATGAACAATTTTCCTCTATTTGAGGATTTCAGACTGTAAACTTCAGCCAGATCCCTGCTCCCCAGATGCACGCCTCAGCCTCTGTACTACTCTCTGCAGACTTGTCCTATCTTTCGGACAGACCAGCTCTATGTTTACTGTGCTGACCATTTTTTGTTTTGAGGCACTCAAAATTGCCATTTGATATTGTATGTGCACTGTATTTAGCGGTATGTGCCACACAAGGTACTGCAAAAAACTGCTTTCATTTTCACTCACAAGTGACAGGCTACATCACATACAGTTCATCAATCTAGTCTAACTTGCTATGATGTGACCCAAAATGTCTTTGCTTTGCCAAACATAGTGTCTGTATGGGGCAAACACCAAAGGGCACCTGACAAGCTGTCGTCTTCCTCTTCTTGTTGCCTCCCCATAACCTTTAATAGGTTCACCAAAAACACCAATTATCTACAAGAAAAAAGAGGTTTGAGTTGTCAGAAGGTATCACATTCAAACAGTATCAGCTCACACCCCTGTTGTGAATGCATTTTCTTTCAGCAAAATGCCCCTTGCAAGTCTGATGTGCCAAGAATAGAAGAGTATATGAAAGAAAAAAGTGTAAGGAAAACTCCTCTGTATTTCAGTGCTTTTCTTTAAAGTCACATATTAAATGTCTAAAATAAATCCTACTAATATATTCCATTTGTACCGTCCTCTGAGATTATGACATTTTAATCTCTTCTCTTACTGTGTATTTTCTACTTTACTGACATTTTGTGTAAAAAGGGAGGAAAAAAAAAAATTTGCTCATGTCTCCTCCAGGAGAGTATGTTTCAAAGTTTAAAATGCAATTGCACTCCCCTTCATGTTATCTAAAAAACACTACTGTTTAAGAAATTCAATGATTTTTCATTTTTTCCCCCTAGATCTATAAAGCTAGACTAAATTAACCTAGTTCTAAACTTAAAGTTGGTTAAAAAGGGAGGGTGATTTTTACTGTATAAGTAAGTACTGGAGAGAAGTTTTAGTTCTACAAACTTTTTCCAAAGCAGTCTACATTTTTATTCTAGTGACAACTGTCACTTCATTTCTAGGTTATCCTCAGTGGCATCTGTGGCAACCTTGTTTGAAAGCTATTCCATGCATTTCTTGTTTTGCCTGAAGTACTGCTTTTTAAAATCTAGTTTTAGATTGATTTTTGTTTACATCTAGCTATCTTATCTGACTGTGTGATCACATGACTGTTCTCTTTCTCTTTTCCTGTTAGCCACAGGAATGCTAACCGTGTTTCAAATGAAGAGTTTAAATTCCTGGATACTTCGGCAGTGCTTTGCAGAATGACAGAATCCTAGTGGAGTGTCACAACAGAAAAACTGTGCTGAGGAAAGGCAGCAGATTAGATCTACAAAACTTGAGTGGGACCAGTTGCCTTCCTGACCGGCAGAATTCCTTAAGTACTACATTTAGCAGGCACTCAGGTATGTCTGTAAGACTTTCTGTACGGAGGCACAAGCACATCCCCTGAAAGGGCAGACACTGTTGTCACATCAGTTGTTGTGCTGTGGTACACTCACTTAACTTGGCTTTTAGCAGGCTAATTGGCTCAGACTCAGTGCTTGCATTAACTCATCCTAATACAGGCTCCCATTTGGACCCGACCCACGCCTGGCCAGCTAAAAGCACAGGCAGATCTGCTGGTGTTTGCCTGCGAAGCACCATCTGGGTCTTCCTGTAGCTTTGCTTGTGAGACTCCCTGTGCAAACTTTTGACTCAAAGAGAGACAGCAACTACCGAGAAACATAAACTTACGACTAAGGTTCAAAAACCAACCTCAGGGTGAGATCTGCATTTCTCCAAGGCATCTCCATAGATCTTACTTGGACTAGAAGAAGAGAATAGCTCTTTAAAAATCACATAGAACAAACCACCTGTAACAGAAACAACAGCAAACGGAATGAAAACTAACCAAACCGGATGGAATGAATGAAAAGCATCTTCTGATAAAGAATATTTAAAAATAACCTGTAACACCAATTCCAACAAGCACCACAATAAAATAGGTAAAGTCTCTTCCAGCTTCTTTCACTGAAATAGACAGAAAACAATGCAGGAGTTACAATCTTGGATAGTAAGACTGGCATAGCTTTCTTATATAAATGCTCTTCTGTTAGTCTGCACCTCAAATAACACTTTGGCAGAAGAAAAAATTCCAACAACAGCTTCCCTAATGCCTCATCACTAAAAGAAAGAGACCATGGAACACCTCTTCTGTTGTGCAGGGCATAGTTATATCTCTGTATCAAGCCTTCTTATTTTCTGTTTTCCTACTAGATGTTTTCAGGACTCAGAAGAGCACTTATTGCTACTTTCTGTGTACTCGAGAGCTAGGTTTTTTTAAGAAATAATGAGGTATTTAGCACTGCAGTATTCAAGCTAACATATAAACCCACAATCATTGCTATCCTTACACAGAGAAAGGGAGAAGGAAAAATAAACAAGCATAAGCTTATAAATTGCACACACTGACTGAAAATAACTGATTTTACGAATTCTCAAGTGAACAATAGAAAGGAAGGATATAAGAGCAAAACATGTATTTTATTTATTGAGACAGTTAACTGCGCTTTATCTGGTTAGTTTTTATCTATTAGCTTTGATCTAATGTACCAGTAAAACTATCAGTATACACTCCAAAAAAAGTCATGTGAGATTCTCTGTTACAAAGTATTTTTGAGAACTTGGAGACTACCAATTTGTTTAAGCGATAAGGTGTGCCTTTCAGTGAAGTACAAGTCACCCAGGAAACTTAATAACCATTTTTCCTGCAGCCTTCTAATGAGTTGAGGATGTTTTCCATAAACTTTTCAAAGCACTTGGAATTTCTGAGGCTAATGACGCGGTAACCACTTTCCACTGAAGCGAATGAGACCAACCAAAGCGACAGCCATCCTATGAAGAGACTAGTACCCCATGTAGAGCTTTGACAATTTTGCTGGAAGTAAACTTGTTTTAACAGCATCGAGACAGGTTGCGTGTGACAGGTTTTCCTTGTGCATAGGGAAATGAGAGGCTACTACATCTTACCCCTGATGCGACCTAAACACGAAATCAACAACTTGTTTGGAAGAAGCCACGTTTCTGCTCTGCTTGTGCAACACACACACTGAAATGTATCAACTGCTGCAAACAACAGGATGCGAAAAGGAAAGGGCTTGTTGGTTTTTTGAGAATTGCAGGTTGGGGTTTTGGTTGTTTTTTTTTTTTTTTTTAA